TTCAAAATAAATATACTTATTCATTTATACATTTTTATTGAAAATCAAATTCATATCATTTGATAATTCACAACCTACCATCATGTAATTATAGCCAAAAAGTGAAATATTCACATAAGGTCATAAAAATATCATCTTAAAATCATGATATAACATCAGGTGATAACCATGTTATAATCTCATCACATCAAACGTGCTGGAAAAATCCACCAAAAATGTACCCTTTGATTGAAATATGTAATCCGCCTCTCGGGTTAAGAACTTTCACCACGGGCCTTTGGCCCTCTCCTTGAACGAAAGCCGGTCTCAAAGACCTCGCATAATCAATTCTAGAACATGGCCAAGGCCCTTCTGTGAACTATATGTACACGATTAAGACTAATGTCTGGTCAAGACCCTCCGTGTAGGATAGAACACGGCCAAGACCCCTCTATGAACTAAAAGAAATATATAATCATGGGTACTTTTCTGGCCGATCTCAATATTGCATGTCTCACATACCAAACAAATCTCAATATCACATATCTTACATATCAAGTCACAAATATGTCATAAATAATATTTGATATTCCACATGTATCATAATAAGAGAGATTTTCATAATAACCATGTAATTCGAATACATAATTGTATAAAATTGCACATACTTTAACAATATACTTAATTTATAAATATTTTAAAAATATTTATATTTTTCCACTCACAGAACTATGTACGTCAAAATCAATTCGATTGGTACACTGTCCCGATATCCGTATCGCCGCCTAAAATATAATATAATTTTTAAATCAACAATTAACTAATTTAAGTAATTTCAATAATTAAATAGGTGATACCCAAACATAATCATTTCACGTTTGGACGATTTCTACAGTCTCTTTAATAACTAAAATTACTTTTTCTTTCATCTTACTCAATTTCATAGTTTGTTACACTTAACCCCTTCAATAAAATTAAATTTAATCAACAATCTAACAATTATAAAATCAAACATAACTTAACAATAAGTAACTTTTTACTTACCTTTCAAAATTGAGAAATTCAAGTCAAATAGGATAGAGCACTTAATTCCTAATATGTTGGCGAAATTTTCCTTTTTTTTTCCCCTCTTTTACCTTTCTCTTTTTCTCTCTTTTTCTTCTCTGGTCCTTTTTTGAGTGCGTGTTGTGTGTTTGTTTTCTTTCAATTTGGTTTTGGTTATATATATATATATATATATTGGATTGATTTGTTTTGGCACCCACTGCCTGCCGTTTTTGTTTTTATCTTTTTTTTTTGTTTAATGTATTACAAAACTTACCCCCTTAAAAGAATTTCGTCCTCGAAATTTGATTGATCAAGTATGAAAAAGTCGTGGATACTAAGAATGCATCTACTCTTCACTTTCCCATGTCGCTTTTTCTACAGTATGATTTCTCCACAAGACATTAACCAAAGGAATAGTCTTACTACGCAAAACCTATTCTTTCCTATACAATATCTGAATTGGTTCTTCTTCATAGGTAAGATTTTCCTTCAGCTCCACGAGTTGTGATTCCAAAACATGAGATGGATCTGGAATATACTTACGAAGCATAGAAACATGGAATATATCATCAATTCTGGACAATTCTGTTGGCAAAGCCAATCGATACGCAACTGGACTAATGCGTTCAACAATCTCATATGGGCTAATATACCTCGGACTCAATTTACCTCATTTACCAAATCTGATAACACCTTTCCATGGAGACAATCGCAGGAAAACTCTATCTCCAACATCAAATTCAAGGTTTCTTCTGCGTCTATCTGCATAGTTCTTCTATTTATCTTGGGCTATCTTTAACTTTTCTTTAATTATCTTTACTTTCTCAGCAGTAATTAGGATATATTCAGGACACAATAACTTTCTTTCACCAACTTCATCCCAACATACTGGAGTTCTACATTTTCTACCATACAGTGCTTCAAAATGAGCCATTTCTATACTCAAATGATAACTGTTATTATAAGCAAACTCCATCAAAGAAAGATGAGTATCCCAATTTCCTTTGAACTGTAGTACTCAAGCTCGTAACATGTCTTCCAAAGTCTGAATAGTTCTTTCTGACTAACCATCTGTTTGAGGATGAAAAGCTGTACTGAAATGAAGTTTAGTACCCATAGCTTTCTACAAACTGGGCCAAAATTTAGAAGTGAAACAAGAATCTCTATCTGAAACAATAGATACTGGTGTCCCATATAAGCTGATTATCTCGTTAACATATATTTTTGCCAATTTATCTAACGAGTAAGTGACTTTAATAGGCAAAAATCTAGCAGTCTTCGTTAATCTGTCTACAATGATCTATATGCCATCATGTCTACTCTGAGTCCGTGGAAGTCCAAATAGAAAATCCATAGTAATGTGTTCCCATTTCCACTTAGGAATAGGCAACGATTGTAACAATCTTGCTGTTTTCTGACGATCTGGTTTCACTTGCTAGCAAATGAGACATCTGGATACAAAACTTAGCTATTTCTCTCTTCATTCCATGCCACCAATAGTGTTCTTTAAGTACATGATACATTTTTGTATTGCCTTGATGCATTGCGTAAGCTGAACTATGTGCCTCTTCTAGAATTTCTTCCTTCAATTTCGAATTGTCTGGAACACATAATCCGTTTCCCATAACTAAAGTTCCATCATCTCGAATGGTATAATCTGTATGCTTACCTTTACTAACTTCTTCTTTCAATTTACTCAACACTGGATCTTAAGTTTGAGTTTCTCTAACTGTGTCAATCAAAGTAGGTCTCACTTGGAAGTTGGTAAATAATGCTCCTACACTGGTAACTAATAATTGAGCATGAGAGCATCTGAACTAACCAAACAAAGATGAACATACTGCATTAGTTTGGGTCATAGGACTCGATATTTTTCGACTGAGAGCATCAGCAACTACATTAACCTTCCCTGGATGATAATCAGTCTTGCTGTCGTAATCTTTTATCAGCTCTAACCATCTTCTCTGCCTCAAGTTTAACTCTTTTTGATCGAAAATATACTTTAAGCTTTTATGATCTGTATATACCTGGCATCTCTCACCATACAAGTAATGTCTCCAAATTTTCAAGGCTAGAACAACTGCAGCTAGCTCTAAGTCATGTGTAGGATAACTCAGTTCATGTTTCTTCAACTGCCTGGAAGCATACACTATAACTTTCCCATTCTGCATCAATACACAACCAAGACCCTGACGTGAAGCATCACTATATATCACAAACTTTTCACTAGGAGATGGTAGGGTAAGAACTAGAGCTGACACTAATATATTCATTAATTCAAGGAAACTTTTTTCGCAATTTTCATTCCAAACAAATTTAGCATTCTTTCTAGTCAAACTGGTCAAAAGCAAAACAAATTTTGAAAATCCCTCTACAAAACGACGATAATAACCTGCTAAGCCAAGAAAACTTCAGATTTCTGTCACATTAGTAGGCCTTTCCCATTTTACCATTGCTCTGTTTTCTGTGGATCAACATAAATTCCTTCTGCTGATATGACATGTCTCAAAAATACAACTTTATCAAGCTAGAATTCACATTTACTGAATTTAGCATACAACTGCTCATCACGTAGAGTCTGTAAGATGATTATGAGATGTTCTATGTGCTCATCATGATCTCGAGAGTATACTAAAATATCGTCCATGAATACAATCATAAATCTGTCTAAATATGGGCTAAACACTCTATTCATCATATCCATAAATGTTGCTGGTGCATTGGTCAACCCAAATGGCATCACTAGAATTTCAAAATGACCATATCTTGTCCTGAAAGCAGTTTTTGGCACATCGCTGTCCCTGATTTTAAGTTGATGATATCCAGAACGCAAATCAATCTTTGAAAATACTGCAGCACCTCGAAGCTGATCGAACAGATCATCAATACGTGGCAAATGATATTTATTGCGAATTGTCACCTTATTCAATTGTCTGTAATCTATGCACAGTCGCATGGTGCCATCTTTCTTTTTCACTAACAAAATCGATGCTCTCCACGGAGATATACTAGGTCTGATGAAACCCTTGTCTACCAACTCTTGCAACTGAACCTTTAGCTCTTTCAATTCTGTTGGTGCCGTTCTATAGGGTGCCCGTGAAATAGGTGCGATTCTTGGAATCAGATCTATAGTGAACTCCATATCTCTGTCTGATGGTAAGCTGGTAATTCTTTTGGAAATACATCGGGAAAGTCCTTGACCACTGGGATATCTTCAAGTTTTAGTTTGCTAACATCTGTATCAATTACATGAGCCAAATATGCATGGCAGCCCTTGTTGAGTAATCTTCTAGTGTCAATAGCAGATATCACACAAGACGATAAAATTCTACGCTGTCCATTGAATATAATTTCAGGCTGTCCTGGCTGTCTAAACACAACCTCCTTTCGAAAACAATTAATTGAAGCTCGATTTGTTGCCAAAAAGTCCATACCCAATATAACATCGATATCGTGTATGTCAAGAGGTATTAAATTTGCCTTGAGCTCGTTCTCCTTTACCTTAATCCCACAATCTCGATATATATTGTTTGCTAATAGTGATTCTCCTACTGGTGTACTCACTACCAAATAACTACCTAAAAGTTCTGGCTTTTGATTCGCATATAAAGCAAATGCAAATGACATAAAAGAATGTGTAGATCCAGGATCAATCAAAATACGAGCATTTCTATCAAAAATAGACAACATACCCATGATAACATCTGGTGAATCCTCTGGCGCCTACTGAGTCATAGAAAAAACCTTGCCCTGGGTCTTCGGTCGTCCTGCCTGCCCTTTTGATTTTGTACCACTACCGCTTGCGATATTAGACTGGGCCACATTGTTTGTACCTGCTCTATTAGCTGAATCATCTCTCTGGGTCTGATTCTATCTTGTACTACCAGCACTTTGCTGAGGAAACATCCTATGTGCCATGCCACCCTCCTGAACTTCTTGGCCACAGCGATAGCAAACACCAACTCCATTGAACTTTAAACACTCTCTAGGATGAGATCTTCCACATAATTGGTAAGAAGAAAATCTGGCACTATTAGAACTCTCTTCCCTGTCTTGGAGTAAATGATCTCTGGAAAGAATAATAAGTATAATTACGACTGGCCAATGGCTATTGTACAGTACTGGGACTAAATCTAGGACCCTGACTTGCTCGGAGTCGAGATTTGAATTGACTTGAACTAGACATACCAGGTCGAAATCCTTTATTGTCCCTCCGTGGTGGTCTATAGCTAGAAGCACTTGCCATTGTCTGACTACTGCTTGCTCTGAACATTGTTTGTTCTTTACCACTTGGCCTATCAGAAATGCACTTTTCTACTCTCAAAGCTGATTCCACTAATTTGCCAAATTCATTCCAGCCTGCAACTGTTAATACTGACCTGATTTCTTCCCTTAACCCATTTTCAAACTGTCTGCATTTATCAATTTCGTTGCATACTAGAACTTGTCCATATTTTGAAAGTTCAATAAATTTCACCTGATATTCTGCAATGGTCATCTGGCCTTGTATTAGTTTCAGAAATTCCTCCTGCTTTGCATCTTTACAGGACCGAGGGTAATAGGCATCGTAAAAAATATGACGAAAATCTATCCAAGTAATGATGGAAGGGTCTAAATATGTGCTCCGTACCGATTGCCACCAACCATACGCACCTTCATCTAATAAGAAGGTGGCAAGACACAAGTTTCGATTGTCTGAGCAACCCATGACATCAAATACCCTCTCTATCTTTGTCATCCATGCCTGCGTAACTGCAGAATCAGCCGTGCCAGTGAACACTTTAGCTCCTAACTTTGTAGCCTTTTCAATACTAAAATCTCTGTCAGTATTACGTATAGCAGATGCAACGGCAATAACAATTCTTTCAACAGCAATAGGATCAGTTCCAATCACATTTCCCTGTCCCTGCTGTTCAGGAGGTTGGTGAACTGATTCATCTACTCTCTCGGGCTCTCTCAATTCATCTCTATCAGGAGCAATGTGAGACTGGGGCAACATATCTTGGAGCCTTCGAGTTTTGCCACCACGAGGCATGACTCACCTACAGTTATGCGTGATATGCTAAATATCAGAGTGTATGCATGCACAATGCAAACCCATGAACTCTAATGCATGCTCTGATACCAAACTGACACACCTCGTCCCGTGTAACACCACTTGATTCGGACGTGGCATGCGCCGATGATAGATACCAACTAAAAGTCGAACCCACAACCAAGGCTACTACAAATGCAATATATCACTTTTTATATATCATTTTTCTAACAAAATTTCGGCATTATCTCTCCTGTAAACAAGACTAACCAACATGTGATCAATTTCATACAAATCTCAAACTATAGCACAGCAAAATAAAGATAAGCCGAAATCTCCACTTTTACTAAGAAATACAATGAAATATACATATGGATACATAATACATAGTGAGCCCCATAACTATCTACAAGTGATGCAAAATCATATCTAGACATGAACATGTGTTCCAAAACACTGACTACATGTTCTATGAAGTGAGTCATACTAACAAACTCTATCGTGTGGTTCTTACTCCAAAATCAAGACTCAACTCCAAAAGATGCCTAGATTCTCAACTGCTGCCTGATAAGGAAAAACGTGGAAAAATATATGAGTTGATAGCTCAGTGAGTGGAGAAGTTTAAAATAAATATACTTATTAATTTTATACATTTTTATTGAAAATCAAATTCATATCATTTGATAATTCACAAGCTACCATCATGTAATTATAGCCAAAAAGTGAAATATTCACATAAGATCATAAAAATATCATCTTAAAATCATGATATAACATCAACTGATAACCATGCTATAATCTCATCACATCAAACGTGCTAAAAAATCCACCAAAAATGTACCCTCTGATTGAAATATGTAATCCGCCTCTCGGGCTAAGAACTTTCGCCACGGGCCTTTGGCCCCCTCCGTGAACAAAAGTCGGTCTTAAAGACCTTACATAATCAATTCTAGAATACGGCCAAGGCCTCTCTGTGAACTATATGTACACGATCAAGACCAATGTTAGGTCAAGACCCTCCGTGTAGGATAGAACACGGCCAAGGCCCCTCTGTGAACTAGAAGAAGTATATAATCATGGATACTTTTTTGGCCGATCTCAATATTGCATGTCTCACATACCAAACAAATCTCAATATCACATGTCTTATATACCAAGTCACAAATATGCCATAAATAATCTTTGATATTCCACATGTATCATAATAAAAGAGATTTCCATAATAACCATGTAATTCGAATACATAATTGCATATAATTGCACATATTTTAACAATATACTTAAGTTATAAATACTTTTAAAATATTTATATTTTTTCACTCATAGAACTATGTACGTTAAAATCAATTCGATTGGTACACTGTCCTGATATCCGTATCGCCACCTGAAATATAATATAATTTTTAAATCAACAATTAACTAATTTAAGTAATTTCGATAATTAAATAGGCAATACCCAAACATAATCATTTCACGTTTGGACGATTTCTACAGTCTCTTTAATAACTAAAATTAGTTTTTTTTTTTCATCTTACTTAATTTCATAGTTTATTACACTTAACCCCTTCAATAAAATTAAATTTAATCTAACAATCTAACAACTATAAAATCAAACATAAAGAAACTCAAGTCTAATAGGATAGAGCATTTAATTCCTAACACATTGGCGAATTTTTCCTTTTTTTTCTTCCTCTTTTTTTTCCCCCCCTCTTTTTCCTTTCTCTTTTTCTTCTCTGGTCCTTTTTTGAGTGCGTGTTGTGTGTTTGTTTTCTTTCAATTTGGTTTTGGTTGTGTGTGTGTGTGTATATATATATATATATATATATATATATATATATATATATATTTAATTGGATTGATTTGTTTTAGCATCCACCACCTGCCGTTTTTGTTTTTATCTTTTTGTTTTTTTTTTAAGTTTGACTTTTTTTTGTTTAATGTATTACAGTTTTTGGTGGATTTTTCATTACATTTGATGTGATGAGATTATAGCATGATTACCAGCTTATATTCATTTCATGACTCGAGATGCTATTTTATCACATTATGTGAATGTATCACGTTTTGGCTATAATTATATGATGTTATCTTGCGAGTTATTCAATGATAATGAGCTTGTTTTTTGATAAAAATGTAAAATTGAAAAGGTATAATTATTTTCGAACTTTTCCACTCACTGAGCTATTAACTCATATGTTTTCTTGTAATTTTCCTACAGGTGGAAATTTATTTTTTTTAGTTGGAAGAGCCTAATGATTTCAGAATGAGAGCCACATGACATGTTGAATATTATAACTCATATTGATGAAGCACGAAGTAAATATTTTGGGCCCATCGTATTATATTTTACATAAGCATTTGATTTTGTTGCATTTTTTGAAATAACTCATAGTTAGCCTTGGTGATAAATTTGACATCTAGTCAGCATCTATCATCGACGTACGTCACATTTCGGGTCCACTAGGGTGATTCGGGACGGGTCGTGTCAATAACCCACTACTATGTTTGACACGACCCTTCCCGAATCACATTAATGGACCCGAAACGTGACGTGCGCTGATGATAGATGCTGACTAGATGTCAAATCTATCACCAAAGCTGACTATGAGTTATTTCAAAAAATGCTACCAAATCAAATGCTTATGCAAAACATAATGCGATGCGCCCAAAATATTTACTTCGTGCTTCATGAATATGAGTTATAATATTCAACATATCGTGTGGCTCTCATTCCGAAATTATTAGGCTCTTCCAGCTGAAAATAATCAATTTCCACCTGTAGAAAAATTACGAAAAAATATATGAGTTGATAGCTCAGTGAGTGAAGAAGTTCGAAAATAATCATACTTTTTCATGTTTACATTTTTATCGAAAATCGAGTTTATATCATTGATAATTTGTAAGATAATATCAAATAATTATAGCCAAAACGTGAGACAGACATTCACATAACGTGGTAAAATATCATCTCAAGTCATGATATGAATATAAGCTGATAACCATGCTATAATCTCATCACATCAATTGTATTGAAAAATTTATCAAAAATGTACCCTCTGATTAAAATCTGTAATCCGCCCCTCGGGCTATGAACTTTCGCCACGGGCCTTTGGCTCCTCCGTGAATGAAAGAGAGTCTCAAGACCTCTGCTAATCAATTCTAGAACACGGTCAATGCCCCTTAATGAACTATATATATATACACGGTCACGACCCCTTCATCCTCAGTCGACCCCTCAGTGTAGTATAGAACACACCCAAGGTCCCTCTGTAAACTAGAAGAAGTACATAATCAAGGGTACTTTTCTAGTCGATCTCAATATCACGTCTCATATTCTAATTCACAATGTAACGTATACAATCTTTGAAATCCCACATGTATCATAATAAAAGATATTTCCATAATAATAATGTAATTCGAACACATAATTGCATATAATTGCAAATACTTTAACAATAAACTTAATTTATAAGTACTTTAAAAATATTTATATTTTCCCACTCACAATACTATGTTCGCAAAATCAACCCGGTTGGTAAGCTGTTCTGATGTCAAAATCGTCGCCTGAAATACGATATAATTTTTAAATAAACAATTAATTATTTTAAATAATTTTAATAATTAAATAGGTGATACACAAACTTAATCATTTCACGTTTAAGCAATTTCTACAATCTCTTTAATCACTAAAACTAGTTTTTCTTTCACTTTACTCAATTTCATAGTTTATTATACTTAACTCATTCAATAAAATTGAATTTAATCTAACAATCTAACAACTATAAAATCAAACATAACTTGACAATAAGTAACTTTTTACTTACCTTTCAAAATTGAGGAATCAAGCCTAATAATATAGAATACTTAATTCCTAACACGTTGGCAAAAATTTTCTATTTTTCTTCTTCTTCTTCTTCCCCTTTTTTTTCTTCCTCTTTTCTCTTCCTTTTTCTCTTTGGTACGTTTCTTGGTGTGTGTGTGTTGTGTGTGTTATAGATTTGAAATGAGATTTAGATGAGTGTAGTAATGGATTTGTTTGAGTTGTCCACCGCCTGCCCATTTGTTTTATATGTTTATTATTATTTTTTTTTTTTTTTGCATGATATGTTTGACCTTTTTTTTTTTTTAATTAAGGTATTACAAAACTCACCCCCTTAAAAGAATTTCATCCTCAAAATTCAATCGACTAAATACGGAAAAGTCGTGGATACTAAGAATGCATCTACTTTTCACTTTCCCATGTTGCTTCTTCTAAATATGATTCATCCTTAATACTTTAATCAAAGTAATTGTCTTACTACGTAAGACATGTTCCTTTTTGTCAAATATCTGATCTGATTCTTCTTTATATATAAGATTTTCTTTCAATTCTATTGATAATTGTATAGCATAAGTTAAATATAATGTCTATTTACTAAGCCTCGAACATATGGAATATAAGTTAAACCGATACCTTAAATATCATCCTAATAATCAATATGTGATATTTTCATCTTTTCTTTTCCTTTTTTTTCCCAAACCTTAGGAAAACTCAATTATTATTCCAATTTGAAGTTTAAGATACTACTTTTCATGTTCTCCAAATCTTCACCTTATGTCATAATTTAAACTATTTATTAATCACATTATTTTACTATAACAATGGTTACATATTAAGATCTAACAGCATTCTTTCGCCAATTTCGTCATATGTCTTTAGAATATTTCAATATTATATATAACCTCAATTATCGTCACTCGTGTCTAGTTTTTATATGTCAATTCTATGAAAATAAATAATTATCCAAGTTTACTTTAATTAACCAATCATAGTTGATAGAGTCTCTTTTGAACTTGTTTTCATAGTGTTTGACATTCTATCAAAAGAAGATGCACAATATAATTTAATTATATAACTTCTTACAACTAACCAAAGATAAATACTCCAAATCCACCATGTAATTAACAATATTGTCTATATATAATTTTATAAATTTATCCTATGCACTGACTATATCTTT